GGGAGGAGTATTGGTAGGTATGTTCGCTGCCTTGAGTTATTTATAAAAAAAGGCAGGATAATACTAATACTAATAAATCCTCAACACTCAAAATAATCTGCTAGGCCAAAAAGGTTGAAAAGCACTGCCCCAAACCGAACTAAAAAAAATGGAAGGGGGTTGGACTAGAGGACCTTCAAGGTCCCTTCCAACCTATGATTTTATGGGTACCCAAGTCTTCTCTGGGCCTTTTGAGACATCCACTTTAGTTACTCTTTATGAATACTATAAAAGAAAAGACAGCTTGGCTAAAGTTGAGGGAAAGCAGAGAGCCGCCCTGGTTCACTGTGAGCTACCCCTCCTTAATAGCACCAATCCTTATCTAATGCCAGTATTTTTATTTATTCTTTGGATTTGTCTCTCACTCTGGCTTCAAAGAAAACACACTATTTCATTTCATTTCATTTCATTTCATTTCATTTCATACCAGTAATAGCTTTAGGATGCAGAGACATAGGGAGGACCTGACTGGCCCATGATCGACCCCAAAATTTTTTGACTGGGGGCTTAAACCCAAGTCTCCTCCCCGGCAGCTAGAACCACCCTTCTACGCAGCCTTGCTCAGTCTGGCGCCCTCCAGCTTTGCTGACTAAAATCCCTACCCTTCCTAGCTAAGATGCCATTATAAGAGAACATCATCCGCTTCTTGGCTAATCCTGCTAACAGAGGCTGCCGAGACCCACTTTAAGAACCGCCATAAAGACTGAGCTTCCATTCCTGTAAGCCAATAGCCAGGAGTATTTTGCGGAGTATTTTGCGAGTTTCCTTCGTATTTCCGGGAAACAATATTTTGCTCCTCGAAACCCCCCAACCCCAACCGGAAGCGACTCCTGCTTTCCACGGGGGGGAGAGGTAGGGCGGAAGGAAAGAGCGACCATCTTTGAATAGGTCTCAGCAACCAGTCCCAACAACTTCCAGCCCAGGAATCTAACGATCTGGGCGCCCTCTGCTGACGAGCGCCAGCTCTTATCTCCTAATGCGCCGGAACTACAACTCCCAGAATTCCCAGCCGGGGATTTGGGAATTGTAGGCCGAGGGCCCCAGGACGGGGAAGGGAGCGTCTCTTTTTCTTCCTCACCTCATCGTTCTTCGGTCTTACCTTCTGCTTTCCTCCTTCCGGCCAACCCGCTCGGCCTCATCCGGGGCACTAAAGGAACTCCTACCCGGCTTCGGCCCAGCCCAACCAAGGGTCGCTGTTGCCGCCTTTCTCCTATGGGGGGCGCGCAGCTACAAGTTGGCATCCGCTTACTGGGCAGCAAGCCGCGCTGAGACTAATGAGGCGTTTTGCGAGCCTGCCTCAACCTGGTGCCCTCGAAAGGCATTAGGGTTACGAATTCCAACTTTCCCAATGCCTAGACTGGTAGGGAATTCTGGGAATTGTAGTCCCAACAATCCCTGGAGTGCTCCACGTGGAGGAACACCAGCGTCTGTTCTTTTCTCTTTTGGGTGGATTGGCTGCAAGCCACACAATGTTAGTGTGATGAGCAATCGCCAAGCTGCAGAACGCTCCATATCATGTGCCCCTCATGTAAAAGATTGCTTTTGAAGAAGGGCCTGGGCTACCATTTATGCACAATCCTCCCATTTGTGTCTCTTTTAAGCATCTTGCAAAAAGACTTCAGCTTGCTGTTTATGTTGGCGGGTTTCTTGGTGGCTCTGTTGTGGATGGAAGGAAAGAGAAGAGGAGACCAGCAGCAAGGTGGCTAGACTCCATTACAGTGGCGATGGGTGCACTGTTGGAAGAGCTGAAGGACCCGGCTAGGGACAGATCGTCATGGAGAAAATCTATTTCAATGACTTGATCGCACCTAATCAGGGATGTTTGCTCGTAACCTGATAGGCGTGCTGGATCTGGGCTACAAAAATCCAGAAGACCATTAGTTGGCAGCAAAGAGATTTGACAAAAGTTGACTTCTTTGCTCCCATCTAGTAGTCCTTTGGATTTTTGCAGCCCAGGTGTGTAAGCCTGGCTTTTAGGTCCCTTCCAGTCAGAGAAGTCTACTGCCTTCCAGGCTGGTTTTAGGTACCCAATTCTGCCATGAGGAGTCACGTTGGACACCTGGTGACTACAACATCTCCAGAATGTTTTCTTTGGCACCAATGTGAAAGTGATTTGCTATTGCCTTGTCCCTCCTGCTCCCAGCTGTTGAATCAAACTTACAATCTTTTTAGCTTTTTGTGATTAGACAGAGCCTTACATTTATTGGTTAACATCATCAACTTCCTCAATTAGATGCAGTGCTACCCCAGCCCCATACATTTAATTCCTAAAGCAAAGGGCAATATCCCACCTTCCCATTATACTGCAAATAAGAATAGACTTGTGTAAATGATGAAAATGAATGGAGGTGACTTGGTGGTGGGTGTTATTTGTCATAATAGATGTGTCCATTGAAAAAATGAACATGCATTATATGTAAGATGACAATATTTGAATATGTGTGTGGAAGTGAAAATAAGCCTTCAGATGCTTCCAACTGGTGTGGCAGCATCCCACCTCTCCACAAAGGGATAACCACCCACCACTATCACATTGGGTGATGGTCTTGCCTACATAGCTTGCAAAGTCCCAAAAATCAAAAAAAGGATCCCCAATTTCACACTCTATATTATACCTTTAAATCTGGCACACACACGTATCTCATACATAAATGAAGTTGTGGTTCTCCAGGTATTGCTGGTCTTCAGATCTATCAGTCCCTGATCACTCCTAACTCTCATTTGCTAGCCAGGACAAATGAGATAAGTTTAACATGTAAAAGGAAGCCAGGTTACCATCCTCAGACTAAAGATTATCAAAATACTGAGTAAGCTTCCCCAGAGGCCGCCTTCAACCTTCATCCAGGAAGGGGTGGGGGGGAGAATCTCAGCTGAGAATTTGGTAGCTTGATTGTGGTGTGTAACATTTTAGTTGGCCCTAAGAAAAATATTATCTTGATGTAGATTTATTTATTTATTTATCTATCACATTTATATGGCTGCCCATCTCTCAGAAAGTGACTCTTTAATTAGTTAAGTGCCATAGTGACAACATGTATCTCTCCCATCTTCACCAGCGGAGCGTGCAGTATATCTGTAGTTTTTCAGTGGTCTGTAGAAGTGTACATCTAAGGGAAATTCAGTATTTTTATCAGTTGTTTTAAATCTCTAGATTTTCAAAACGGAAATGTTTCTTGGCTAGCACGAGAAAACGTAACAATGACTCATCTACCATTAGAGCTGATAAAATAAGCCTAAGTCAAGATAGTATGATGAAAGTTATATATGTTTTGGTTTCACAAGGGTTATCATTTCTGTAGAAAAACAGCTTCAGTGGGTTATTTGTCAAAGTATGAAGCCAACAAACTAAAACGTCAGCTGGAAACAAATCGTGCAAATAGTTCTAAGATTCTCTCATTGTTTTAGTTGATATATCGATTAATCTTTAATTATTAAAAGTGAGTAGTACATTTCTTGCCCAACCCTAGGCCTTAGTTTTGTTTAGTGGGTGGGCTCACACAAATTGATTTACCGTTGTGGCAACTTAGGTGTTGCAAAGTTTGAGAATACCAATCTAATCTAAATTTGCTGTTCCCTGCCTCCCTAGGATTAATATTTACTTTCAGCAGCCATCTGTTTTTTTACTCTTAAGCCCAAGAACACACCTGCATATCTTTGCCATTAAGTATAATTTCCCTAATTATACTAACATACAGTACAGCATTAATCCTGATGGTTCATGTTTTTTACTTGTTCTCATAAATACATTACTTTCATAAAACAGGATTTTAGATGATGATGACACTTGAATAATGGACCAATATACTATCACATCTATTCTACATAATCAGAATCTGAACTACTGAGTATGAATGTGAGGATTACTTTATCAGCTCTAATGGTAGATGAGTCATAATGAGCATTAAAATGGAACTTTAAACTTTAGGAAACTGAATCTAAAGATGAGAGTGGGAGACAAATTTGTAGACCATGGCTTTGAAAATGTTGCTGGACTACAAGTCCCACCAGTCAGAGCCCGTAGGGAAGAAGTCTGCGAAGTGTAGTCTAACAAGGCCAGACATACTGTAGCGATGGGAGATTGTCCAACCTGTTGCCCACCAAGCGTGTTTCACTAGTTTCCATCCCACCTGAGAATCCCAAGGAGTCTAATCCAGTGTTTCTCAAACTTGGCAGGTTTAAGATGTGTGGACTTCAACTCCCAGAATTCCCTAGCCAGTCACTCTGGCTGGAGAATTCTGGGAGTTGAAGTCCACACTTCTTAAAGTGGCCAAGTTTGAGAAACACTGGGTAATCTAACATACCTGGAGGGCATTAAATTGAAAGCTGTTTTGGTTTCTGTGAAGATGAACTAGCATGTTCTCCGTGATACCTTGTCACTGACTTCTCCAATATATTTTGCCTTTGTAGAAATTAGAATTTAAAAAGTTTAGAAAAAATTGTAAAGACTAGTTTTATTTTTGCTAACTGGAGTATGGGAACTTTTGGAACTAGGAGGGATCCCTCCCAGGAATATCAACTCAGACAGGGGAAAAACGTGAGGACATGGATGACGTTGTGGTCCGGCCCCACCCTTATCCGCCTCGCTGACCAGAACCGGCACACGTTGCAATTACACTCTAACACTTCCGGTTGTATACTGAACGCGCGGGGCAAAACGAGGGTCTCTCTCGCTTTCAGCCTTCAGTTGCCCGCATATGGCGGCGCTCACATGACAGCCGGCAGCCAAAGCTGCTGAGAGTTCCGAACTCTAGAGCCAAGGGGAGGCTTTCCCGTTTCGCTCTCGGGGCAGCGCTATACGTCATCGCTCGCCCCTGGGCTTCACCGTCTTGCGCGAGCCCCGACGCAGCGACGTCAGCGTTGCGAGGCAGGGAGGAGGGGCAGGGCTACGCTCGCTGCCAGTGTGGCTGGAGGGCGGAGGCGGAGGCGGAGCTGAGCTGGTTTCGGTCCTGCCTGCTTTTTCCGCCGCGTTGGGTAGGGAAGACGGGACGGAGGAAGGCGCTTCGCAGGTCTGGCGGAGGTCGCGGCTCCCGTTCCGGGATGGGGCTCCTATTCGCCAAGCTGTGGAGTCTGTTCTGCACGCAGGGTGAGTGGCTGGCTCCGGCAGGGGAGCCCAGCAGCGGCGCTGCCCCCGCGAGGCGGCGGCGAGGGGAAGACCCCCGGGGGCAACATGGACCCGGGCAGGCAGGCTGGGCTTTGGCCGCGGATATTGTGGCAAAGCAGGGAGTAGATCCGGCGGGAAGGCCGATCCCGGTGGAAAGTAGCAAGGGGGGCTCGCCCGGGGTGGGTTGCAGCAGGAGGCACCACCTAGCCGACCTTAGGGGCGCTTCGGAAGCTAAGTAAGATCGGCTCTGGTCTGGACTGGGATGGGATGGGAGGCTAAAGGCGCGGAATCCCAGGGCTGTAGATCAGATGAAGACCTGGGAGAAAACTGATGGCAAGTCTCTTCTGTATTGTTGCTGAGATAACCGTAGGAACGTGTCCATATTGTTGAGCTTGACTTTTCCCCTTTTTATTGCCTGCATTAATTTTATCCTGAGATGTTATAACTTATTCCATCTTTCCTCTTTCCACCTGTTCCTCCAACAATCCTGTGAATGGGCTAGGCTGGAAGAGGTAGCTAGTTGTTAATGGCTTTGAAACTGGGGGTTTGAAACGGAGTACAGTATTCCTCATTTGGGCATTAATCTAGACCAGTGTTTCTCACCTTAGCAACTTTAAATGGTGTGGAGTTCAATTCTGGGAGTTGAAGTCCACACAACTTAAACTGAACTGAAGTCCACACCATTTAAAGTTGCTAAGGTGAGAAACGCAGACCTAAAGGAGTCAAGTCTTTGAGACATCGGTTATTGATAGGGAGGGTAGGTGGTATCTTCAAGTGCTAGATCAAGAGGGAATAGAGAGCTGGGCTGAAAAGGAAGGAAAATTAAAGTTTCTTCTAGGGCAAAGGAGATGACTTGTTACTGTTAGGACAGATGGGTTAGAAGTGTTTATAATACAGGGACAACGTTTGATTCTGAACAAGCAGAAAATATGACGTGAGGAAATAAGAGAGGTCAGTAAGGCAGTTGACCTGAGATTATTGCTATTTGCCATCCCCGTCTCCCTTGCCCCCCCGGCTAAAATAGTAATGGGCCTGTAATTCAGAATGAGTTAAAGTTAGTAAATCTGAGAGAGGGAGTCTTTTGTGGTGGGAAGTTCCAAAATGGAAATGTGTCCACTGTCTCTCTTGGCCTTTGACTCCTTAGGGGGGAATATAACTACAATATGTTAAAATATTTGTAGAAATTTGAGAACTGTCTGTCACTCTTCCAGTGTAATGTATTTTCTGTCTGAAATTAGCCTGGTTGATGTATACATACTTGTTTTTTTCTTATTTTAAAAAAAAATCCCTAATGAATGCAAACATCTATTTTGCCAGAAGATTTCTTAGAGAAAAAATAAAGTTTATGAAAATTTAAAGCCTATAAAGCAAATACTTAAATATTATCCAAGTCAAATCGTACATTGAAGTTCTACTCTTATTTAATCAGTTTTAAATATTGGTAATGCAGCATAATATCTGCCGAGACTAAGCTTTTGATCTCTTTAACTGAAAACTACACACACACACACACACACACACACACACAAACACACTGTAGCCCTGCAGCCATTCTGCTGTAGATCCTCAATAGCACAGTAAAAAAAATACTATGCAAACTTGTATTAATGCATTTCTTTCTTAGTGGATTATCTGTTAGTCCTTTATGGGATTTGAGCATTCAACTACCTTAGAACTACTGTACACACTATTAGCACAAGCACCCCTTATTTCAGTGAGTATCCTGGTGCTTGTTGTCATTATTAAGTCCCTAAACTATAAATACTAAAAATAGTTTTATGTGAGGCAACAGTTATCACGGCAATTGTAATAGAACATTCTGCAGATTAGGGTGCACAAATTGATGACCCAGAAGTGCATGAGGTCTTTGAAAACTTCAAGTCCCTCCTACAGTCCCTCCTAAAGGTGCTGTCACATTATCTTTTTTAATGTGATGGTGGAAAGTGCTTCCCATATATTTAGTAACCATAACTCTATTTAATAACTTTGATTCACTTAAAATTAATATTATAGCATTTTTTTTCTTACCTCTTTTTGGAGTATGTCTCTTAATATGCAACAGAAAGGCCTAATTTGACCCTTGACCTGAAAAAGTTCCATATCCCTGGGGGAGATTGCCTGAACTGTGTGAAAAAGCTTCATTCTGAGTTGCTGGCCATAGATCTGAGAGAGGGGGATAGGAACCACTTTCTCACACTCAGTTTTGCTATCATAGGACAGTCTTCAGGAAGTTCAGTAGTGATTCTAGTATGAGAAGCTAACCAAAAACAACATTGGTTGTGGTGACTTGTGTAATAGCTTCAAGTAGAAGGCTGACCTGCTCCATACTTAACATGGAACAATGCTATGATTTGTTTGATTTCAGCCTACATGAAATGTGAATTCTTCCATTTTGATTTAGCATTGTGTGTTAGCTAGATTCTGTCTTGCTGAACAATCCATGGTTAAAAATCCTGTAATATGAGTGGATCCATAATTTCAGCTTTCACAAAGAGTTGAAACGGAGGAGTGAGATAATAACAGATTGATTTTATGATCCTAGCTCACGGAATATATATTTTTGCATTAAGCTGATAAAGCTTCGTATGCACTGTAATTAGGAGAAAGGGAAGACTTCTCAATTTAATAGTGACTCACAACCTTGATCATGGGCTAATGATGCCATCATGAGATGGAGTTTCAAGCTACCAAGCCCTTGCTATGTTTTTACTTTTCCTAGTAGTAAATGGATTGGTTTTAAAATAATTTGTATTAGCTTTCCAATATAGCTATTAATATTTGTAAAACAAATATTAAGAGAATGTTGGCTATCAAAAAAACAAAAATCTGTGCTTTTCTATATCTGTCCTCCAGCCTTTTTTTAAAAAAAATTGAGGCATGGGGAGGACCTTGGCAGGCTTGGGATAGTTGGGATAGGAATAAAATCTCTTATATCCTGGAAAATACTTGTCTTACATCATTTTAAGTCAGATTTCTAGTCAGAAACCTGTCATTCAAACTATTCTATAATGAAGGAGTTGTATGATATTGGAGGCGTATAAATGAAATAAATAAGATAGCTGTAGGATATATTATATTAAACATGCAGATTACTTGTAAGTGTTATAACTTTTGCAACTTCATTTTTATGCATTGTAGAACACAAAGTGATAATTGTGGGACTTGACAATGCTGGGAAGACTACAATTCTGTACCAGTTGTAAGTATTTTCAGTATATACCTTTAGTCTTCAATCTATGAATCTAATAATGAATTCTACAATACAAGATGTAGAAATATTTGGAAAATAAAACCTGTCCAAAACTGAGAAATATTTTAAATTCCTTAGTATCAAATATCTCAATCTGAAAGCTTGAATGTGTTTTTTCAGCATGAGTGTAAATAAAAAAAAAGTATTCAGTTCAGTTCTTCCGATATCTTAGGCAGTTCCTTAACCCTTTCGTATCAGAACTCAGATTGATTGATAATCCAGTTTATTGCCATTGGTGAAAAAATAATGTTGGATTACTAGTTTAGTTTGTACTGCTTATTTCATGTATGATGTAATGCTGGCCTGTATGATGCTCTTTGGAATATTTCTTCCCTATGTTGCATCTGCTTTTATAACTATTAGAATTGGTAGTTCTAAAGGGCACCAGCAGGTAATTGATAAACTGTCAGCACAAAGATCAAGTGTTGAAGTCTGTCAAGAAAGAGAACGTTCTGAAAGAGCTGTTCAGTCACTTATGCTGAGAATAAGCTAATGAGATAATATCAAACAGAATTTCTTACTGCAGCCCTTCTTAAAAAGATACCTTACAATGCTAAATTTCTCATATATAATGAAGCCCATGGCACAAAATAAAGTCTTCTCACATGGTTCTCATCATGTAATGGAGAAAATAGAGCTGGATCTTGTAACCCTGTTGTCTGAACCTAAAGTCCTCCAGAAACTGGCAGCACAATGTGGTTTTGTATAGGACTGTGTGAGCTGATAACTCTTTCTGATTCTGATTGGCTTTTTTGGTTACAGATCATGGATCTGGTAATCAGATCTGGTACTCAGCTCATACCTGGATGTCCTGGTTGATACAAACTAGGGTGGAATGCTTTGCATTTGAGTCCAAAACGTTGCTATGGAGCATGAGCAGAGCATGAGCACTGGTCTGCAACTCTATAAAACAGCCAAGATTACATGGCAGCTGTTAAAAGTAACTCTGCAACCCCAGAAAAAGTCATGACTACTTTAAAAAGTTGTAGAGATGCTGCATTTGCATTCTTAAACTCCTTTTCTGATTTATTTCCAAATTGCAGTTGGAAATTTTATTTTTACAGACCCTTTTACAAACTTGAATAGTGATATACCAGCATTGGTGAGCAAGGTATAAGAACATAATGAAAACCAGTCAAAAGCTTAATTTGTGAAGGAAAACAATGAATGTGTGCTTAATTACTGCCTTCTGGGTCAAAATAACTGTAACAACATTCTGGGTAGCCTCATGATAGCTGCATTTCAGATCTTTTTAAATATACCATCTTTTCTCTCTCTTTTAGCTTAATGAATGAAGTAGTTCACACATCTCCTACCATAGGCAGTAATGTTGAAGAAATTGTAGTTAAAAACACACATTTCCTCATGTGGGATATTGGTGGACAAGAGTCATTAAGATCATCCTGGAATACTTATTATTCAAATACAGAGGTAGGTGGATGTTATATTCTGATTGTTTATGATATCAGGACTCTATTGGTATACTGGTATAGGCTTTCACCACCAGTATCTGTTGGGCAATGTTGGGCTTCAGGGTTTTGTGACCATGGTCTAGGGAACAGATTTCTTGATGTTTCACCATCAACTGTGGCTGGCATCTTCAGAGGTGAAGTGATCTGCTACACAGATCACAGGCAACTGAGCAAGGATTGACTGGGCTCTGTCTTTTAGCCAGGTATCATGACTTCTGATTGGCTTTTAGCCAAGCCAGTTTCCGATTGGTGCAGGTTGGTGAGGGCTGGTCTCTGATTGATTCTTTGTGTGTGCCCAATCCTGATTGGTCATTTTGGTGGTGTTGGTTCCTGTTGGTGATTTGTGTGAAAAACCTCACAAGAATAAATACTGTATCTCACTCTGAGATTGTTTTTGTTAAGAAAAAGTGGGAGGGCAATATTATAAATATATCAGCTAGTACCAAGGATCCATTCTGCCCAATGTGGTTAGCAAGTGCTTGAGGTGAGATTTAAAGTAGGATATACCTGGAAAGACGGTAAGAGGAAAGGTCTTTGCTTGGAGCTTCTTTGTTTTTAAGACTCTTCAGGACACAAGAAGGGACCTTTTCAACTTTCAAGGTACCACATGATACTGATAAGCCTGAAGGGCAAGCAAAAAGTTTTTTCTAGACAGATTGAGTTGTCCCTGCTCCTTGATTGAAAAGACAATGAAGGTGTCTTTTCTAGACACCTTGATTGTCCCTGCTCCTGTCACTTTGTACCACAAGATCTCCTTGCTTTTTGTTGTCTCAGAGATGAGTAGGACTTTCAGAAAGAGTAAAAAAAAGAAACTACATTGCTCTTTGTGCAACAGACTAATACAGTTGCGCCTACAGAAGGAGTTTCATCTTTTGAGGTACTGCCTGTTTTGCAATATGTTTCTTCAGTTCTTTTTTCAACTCTTCCTTTTTCCACAGTTTATAATCCTTGTGGTTGACAGCATTGATCGAGAGAGGCTGTCTGTCACAAAAGAAGAACTCTACAGAATGTTGGCTCATGAGGTATTTCATTTTGCCTTGACTGTATGCTTCATGAATTCCCAACACTTAGACTGGAAAGTAAATAAAAATCCCCAAAGAAGGATAGTTGCTAAGAAAACTCTACAGATATATCTGAAGTCAGCATAAGCCAAGTTTGGCTCAGGGAAGTCTTGACCTTTATTCTTGGAATGTGAACTTCAGTTTGGATCCTAAGTGCTGTAAAAGTGGACAGCAGACCTGCCAATTAGTGCAGAACAGAGTTCTGGTTTTATATCCCAGTTATTTCAGAAGGTTTGCCAAATCTCTGAAACAGCCTTCTAGGAAGAACAGTAGAGTATTTCATTGGCAAAAATTATGAGGTCCCACAGTGGACAAGTGCTTTCTGTTTATGAAATAGTAACTTAAAGCCAAATTATTCTTTAAAAAAAAAGATGTAGAAGCAGGTTCATTGTTCCCCCTTTTATGTGCTGCAAATGGGTTCTAGTCTTGAAACCTGAATTAAATTAGGAGTTTGCTTAGCCATTAGTGTAGAGCTGATTTTTTGGAAGCAGCCCAAGGGAAACAAGGCACCTGTTGTCCCCCCACCCTCAAATATATTGACATAAGTAGGACAAACTTTTTAAAAAAAGGCTAAAATCTCATGATTTAGAGCATTTGGCTTTTTGTTCTCATTTTCCTAAAGTTACATGTCACTGTGTAGTACTGCCTAAAAAGATTGTCAGTTTCTGGCATGGGAGAAACACATCACCACCCTATGCTGAAGCAGTTGCCACAGTTAAAGTTTCAGTAGCATATATTATAATGGATTATTTATGTAGCAGTTAGCACCATAGTAATGCAAAGCCAATATGTGCAATTTACAGGATTTACAAAAAGCCGCTGTTCTCATTTTTGCAAATAAGCAAGATATGAAGGGCTGTATGACAGCAGCTGAAATTTCCAAGTATCTGACCCTTAGTTCTATAAAGGATCACCCATGGCACATTCAATCCTGCTGTGCATTAACAGGAGAAGGGTAAGTAGTTATTGTAATACAATATTTTACTTTAGAGAAACTTACAAATCCTACATTTTCTGTTCAAGTTAAATATTTTCTAAATGATATTATTAATACTAACTGTTCAGGTAAGGAAACAAGAAATTTTTAATAGAAAAGGGATGTACAGTTGCAATGCAATTATTTTCTTAAAGCTTAAGCTAAATACTTAAGGAAACATTAACATATTTGTGAATATTTCACTAAGTAATTTTCAAGTAGAGTTTTGAAATCACTCAGCAGTTTACTTTATTAACTGTTTCCCATTTAATCAGATCACATAATTTTGGCTATTGGGAAAAATGGAAATTTGTGTAGTATACCATAGCATAATTCTGAAATTGGGTTTACTAGCTAGAAGGCAGACCTATTAAAATGAGCTATAGTGGACTTAACTGTTGTTGTTCACTATCTTTAGACAGTTTCACAAGTTCAAGATTTTTCTGTTCAGAAGTATTTGTTAATCTTGCATGGTTTTCCTCCAGCTGTGTCCTAGAATTTCCCAGCTAGCATGGCTGTTATTGAGAATTCTAGGAACTGAAGTCTACACATTTGAAGAGACCTAGGTTGGGGAACTTTGACTTAGTCCCTGGATAGTCCTCATTGTCTAGTTTTGTTTTTTCCTTTAACTAAAACTGTTGTGTCATTGGGCCTGGGCTCAGCCTGGAATAGGCTGAGGTGGCAAAATGTTAAAGTGGTAGAAAAATCAGTGTCTTCCTTCCTTCCTTCCTTCCTTCCTTCCTTCCTTCCTTCCTTCCTTCCTTCCTTCCTTCCTTCCTTCCTTC